CCCCCCTTTTGAAAATTCCTGGATCCGCCTATGGACGGGGAGTCTGAGAGACTTGCACTCCTCCCTGTAGTTCTTCGACATGGTTTATCATACTGATGTCTTGCCAGACGACTTTTGGACCCGATTAATATGCTCAATTTGTGTTCCTCAGTCTGCCAGGACTTGAACGACACTTCACTTCACCGGTGGCCACAAGATTCCACTTAAATGGACTAATAGCCATGTGGTTAATGTACACGTTTGTACCAATATTGCGACAGGACATCCCTGCATCATGCAAGCCAATAGCTTGCCATCATACATTTACTGAACGTCTACGTCTTGCCTTGTCATAAAAGTTACGTTTTAGTACTGCCGTATTTTAAAGCATTTCACATACTGCAATTCTGAAGTTTATACTCCACTTTGTTCGTGACCATTGCATCCCGTGTGGACCAGGGGCAGAATGTGTCCACAGCACCCCATTGCTTGTCGTAAGAGGCGACCAAATTGGATGTGACACTTACACATGCACATGCGCACAGATGTTTCCGTCAGGATAACCGGATCACTTTTCATTGTAAGTCTATGGGAATGGTTTCCGGGTCCGGAAGCCGGAAGCGCAATTAATGAAGGTAAGTTTCGTTTCACTGTATATGGAATACGGGCTCCGAGTCCGGAAACGGGGTTCGACTGTATATGGACTAGTGGCAATTTCCCTTCATCATGGCGGAACGCCCTCGTCATTCCGACACCCAAACATGGTCTGGATCATACATATCCTGCTAATTAGAGGCCTATATGTCTTACTAGTTGTATTTGTAAGACCATGGAAAGGATGGTCAATAACCGACTTATATGGTACTTAGAAACAAACAATCTTATCACAAATATCCAATGTGGTTTTAGCAAAAATAGAAGTACTGTTGACCATTTGGTTAGATTGGAGACATTAGTGAAATGCTATAGTCAATAATCAACATGCCGTATCGATGTTTTTTCGACTTAGAAAAGTTTATGATACCACCTGGAAATATGGAAATTTAAAGGACTTCAATGAGAGGCCATGTGCCTAATTTCATATCACAGTTTTTAACAAATAGACATTTCCAGGTACGTGTGGGATCCATTTTGTCAGACATTTATGATCAAGATCTAGGCGCTCCACGAGGTAGCATATTATCGGTAACGTTGTTTAGCATAACAATTAATAGCTTATCAAAGGTTTTAAATGACTCTGTTGACGGGTTTTTGTTTGTGGATGAGTTTAATGTGTCATGTGGAGGAAAAAAAGTGCGGACTATCGAGAGACAGTTGCAACTCTGTCTCAAAAAGATAGATGCTTGGTCGATGAATAATGGTTTTAATTTTTCAAAGTCAAAAACGAATTGCATTCATTTCTGCCAGAAATATAAACCGCATAGTGACCTCCAGCTATATCTAGCTGGTACTCACATTAGGTAGTACAAGGAGCCAAGTTCTTGGGTGTCATCTGTGACCATCACCCCACCTTTAAGTCATACATTATATATCTCAAAGCTAAGTGTCTGAAGGAAATGGATTTATTAAAAGTCGTGTCAAATTCCAAGTGGGGAGGGGATCAGTCTACTCTCCTTCACTTATACATGTCCCTCAATCGCTCAAAGTTGGATTATGGCTCAATCATATATGGTGGAGCATGTAAAAGTAATTTTGAAATGTTAGATCCAATACATCACCAAGGCCTGAGACTCTGTATAGGAACTTTCAGGACCTCTCCAAGTGACAGTCTGTATGTGGAAGGTGATGAACCTTCTCTCAAACTGCGCCGTACCAAATTATCTCTTCAGTATATTACTGAATTACGTTCGAATCCATCAAACCCCGCTTATGAATCCGTTTTTAACCCACAGTATGAGGCACTATATCAGAAAAATACGAAACATGTTCCTCCACTCGGTATACGGCTCAAACCACACATTTAAGCTGCCAAGCTTGACCTTGATATAATAGCGCCATTTCAGCTGTTACCTACTCCTCCTTGGCAGTTAATCAGGCCAAACGTGGACATAACTCTTACTCAGACACGAATCAATTGGTATATAAACAGGAATATCAGCAATTGAGAATGAAATATGATTCTCATCATTCTGTATTTTGGGATGGATCCACGGATGGTGGCAAGGTGCCCTGTCATTGGACCCAAAACAATATCTTTAAGAATACCTGACAATAGCTCAATTTTCACTGCTGAAGCTAAGGCTATTCTGACAGCCTTGGAGTATACTGAACATCAATCAGATTGTAAACAATTTATTATCTTTTTTTATTCATTGTCATGCCCTCAGGCACTTGATATTTTAGAGTTATATAATGATCTTTCCACTGCCGAGTACGACATCGTTTCTTGCTGGTTACCGAGTCATGTCGACATAGTCGGCAATACAAAAGCAGATGCTGCAGCTAAAACAGCTCTTGAAAAGACTTTTTTCCACTCTTGATACGCATATTCTGATTTTAAACATTACATCAAAAAGTATATTAAACAACTAATGCAAACAAATTGGAACGCCCAAGAAGGTATACATAAACGTCATGAAATTAAACAGACCTTAGGATATACCTACTTGGGATGTCAATCCAGACATGATGAAGTTGTAATGAGACGATGTCGAATTGGTCATACTTGTTATCCATGAAAATTTGTTGAAAGAAGAGGATCCTCCATTCTGTATCCCTTGTGATGAGAGAATCACAGTTAAGCACTATTTCCTTCACCGTGTAGAATTTTCTCTCACAAGGGATACTTATTACCAAGTTTCAAACTTTCAAGATCTTTTTAGGCAACGTAAATTCTCATTTAATTCTAAGTGTTTTTTTATAGAAATAGGATTGTACAATAGCTTTTGAATGAATGTCTTTTAACTATGGTTGATGCAACAAATATTATTATAGTAGTGTTATTTAATGGGGTTGAAGTATTGTAAAATGATTTTCCTTGATGATAGCACGTTAGTCTAAATGGTATTGTAGTACTTTGCAGATAACCAGTATTTTATGCTCACATATTTGGGCATGTTTTAATTTATGGCTTACTTTTCCTACAACTGCCAGTGATAAAAGTTATGGCTTACATCCTGCTGGGGTTCATGCAGGAAGCCAAAGTACTGTAAGGCCCCATGATCCCCAGTAAGGTGGTCTAGCTTTGGTGAATGGTGGTCTATAGCTCGCAATGTAATGACATTACATGTAATATTGATTTTCGTGTTGAATAAAGGCTTTTATCATTTGAAATGGTTAGCTTTTGGATTCAAATTGTGATAACTTGCTAATGTTTGCTGTCCTTTGCGACGGATATTTCTTATAGTTAAACCAAATGTTTCTCGTCACTATATGGCCGACAAATTGCCGATGTGACGTAACATTTTACTCACTCACTCACTCACTCGTGACAATCGCATCATGTGCAAATGGGACCTACAGGAAACGAGCAGTTTGAGACCTTTACAAAGGAAAGTTTGTGGATAGAACAAAGCCGAGTAACATTATGTGTCTTTTACGCATTATTTTAAATTAGGTTGATTAAAAACAATCCGTACAACGGGGTAAAGAAGAGTTTGAAATAATGAAGAGCTTGAAACAATGAAATTTAGATTATTCTGGTCAGCATGAAAAGCAGACATCATCCCTATTAGAAAATGGATGCTTTCGCACTGGTACAATATGTGACCTGTTATCATATAGAGAAGCATGTGTTACAACAATTTCAGAAGAGCTAACTGTCACCACTTTAATTATTGACGCAGTCAATCGAAAAGTCCCTTGTAGTCATCAAGAAACCGATATTCACATCAAACTTCATGCTGCTCATGTTGCAAGACATTGCTATGAAAAGATTATGTTACGAACTGTAGCTGCAGATGTTGTAGTGTTTGCTGTAACGCTCAAAACATGCCATTTTCGTATGTTGAGTGTAACATTCTACTGTAGGCTTGTCATGGGCATATGTGTGAAGGCTCTTTTGTGTTACCCGAGGGTGTGTGGGAGGCTGATGTCACATTTCAGGCCCATGAAGATTCGGGGTAGACAACAGGTTAGACATCGGATGGTCAGACTCGCTGACTTTGTATGTCATTGTATCCCAACCGCGTAGACCGATGCTTATGCTGTCGATCACTTGATCGTCTGGTCCAGAGTCGATTATTTACAGACCGCTTCCATATAGCAGGAATATTGCTGAGTGCGGGGTTAACAACAAATAAACCTTCTGCGCGTGCGCAAAATGAAATCATGTTGATTGCCTCCATATCTGAAAGTTTTATGCTTTTATCATTAAATGCACCATTATCTGTTTAGCCGCTCCACTATATGAGCTGCAGGTTCATTATGTAAATCATAACGCTTTCTATACCTTGTGGTAGGATCATCCTTGTGACTGCAATAAGTTACCTATGCAAGTAATGTCAAGGACTGGTTTACGATGCGTCTATAACACCTTCTTCACATTAATTAGATATATGCATCAAAGAAACTAAAACTTCAACTGACAAAGCAGACCGTAAATCATCCCTCCCAGACTACCAGAAGTTCCCTACCCATCAGTTGACTACAACATGAGATTGTATCCATATATGTGTATGTTATTTTACGATGTGTCGGTTGTTACAACAAGGAGAGACATACTGTCTGGACATTTCGAGAGTGAATGTCGTTCTAAACCGCTTTAAGCTCGAGACATAATCTTCAACATGTTTGACAACAGTCGAACAAAATGTTTCTGTTTGACATCAATAGATGTTAATCACAAAGGAAGATATAGTTATGAAAAATATTAACATAAATCCAGTATGTTTTCTCCGCAGTGTGATTTCCCAAGTGATTTTACGAATGTTGTCTTGATTTATTTACTAAACACGCTTGAGCACGGAAAATATCAACGTGTATTTATATGGGTATGTGTGTGTGTACGTGCGTGCGTGCATGCGCGTGTGTGTGCCTATAGTTGTCGAATGTCTGTCTCACATGTCACATTACATTTCCAGTGTATGGTGTCAATATCACTCTTGTGGCTAACGGAACTCTTCAGACATTATATTACAACCAGTCCGCGTATCCCGTAGGAGAAAGGTTAGTGTTGCACACAAGCAAACTACTACTACTACTACTACTACTACTACTACTACTACTACTACTACTACTACTACTACTACTACTACTACTACTACTACTACTACTACTACTACTACTACTACTACTACTACTACTACTACTACTACTACTACTACTACTTCTACTACTACTACTTCCACTACTACTACTACTACTACTACTACAACAATTACTTCTTCTACTACTACAACTACTACTACTACTACTACAATTACTTCTACTACTACTACTCTCAACAATTACTTCTACTACTACTCATTTTTAAAAGAATTAAATTTGTTAACAGATTTGTAAATAGCTAAATATTTTATGATTGGAAGTTAGTAACACAGATTGTTAGTGGCTGTATCCTCGAGGGGGTTAAAGTACTGTAAAATTATTGTCCTCCTGAGGAGGTTACGTAAGTCCCAAAACATTCAAAGTAAATTTCAACTTTCCGTTTTTTTATCGTAGAATATGTGTAATTTTAATGTATGGCTAGATATATCTAAATTGCTAACGGCTGAGGGATGGTGTAAATCCAGCTAGGGCCCATGCAGGAAGCAAATGTACTGTAAGTCCCCATGGTCCCTAGTATGGTGATCTACCTTCAGTTGTTGGCAATTTATAGCCTGTTTCTATATTGTATCGTCATTTATAGTTCCAATATTTTAGATTTAATTGCTAGTTTTAAAAGGATATCTGTGATACACTAGTAGTTTTACTGTTCTTCGTCAACAGGTTTTAATGTCCTACTTTATTGATCTATAATATAATTATAAACTGTTCTCGTCACGATATGGCTGAAATATTGCCGATGTGACGATAAATATTAACTCACTCACTCACTTCTACTACTACTACAATTACTTCTACTACTACTACTACTACTACTACTACTACAACAATTACTTCTACTACTACTACTACTACTAGTTCTACTACTACTACTACCACAACAAATACTTCTACTACTACTACCACTACTAGTACCACTACTACAACAATTACTTCTACTACTACTGCTACATCTACTATTACTCCTACAACAATTACTTCTACTACTTTTACTACTACAACACTTACTTCTACTACTACGACTATTATTACTACTACTACTACCTCTACTACTACTACTACTAGTTCTACTACTACTACTACAACAATTACTCCTACTCCTCCTCCTACTACTACTGCCGCTTCCGTGGTGTAGTGGTTAAAGCGTCCGTCCGGAGAGTGTCATACCAAAAGACGTAAAAATGTGGTACTTATTAGCCCCTGCCTGGCGCCCGGCATTTATGGGTACAAGGACTTGTCGGCTCGGAGTCATTATAATGTGTCTGAGAGGGGGATTCATGCTTAACTGCGGCATGGTATCTCAGTACTCACACTATCTGTACTACTACTACTACTACTACTACTACTACTACTACTACTACAACAATTACTTCTACTACCACTACTATTACAATTACTTCTACTACTACTACTATTACTACTACAATTACTTCTAGTTCTACTACTGCTACTACTACTACTACTTGCTACTACTATACTAGTACTACTCTACTACTACTTACTTCTACTACTACTACTACTACAATTACTTCTACTACTACTACTACTACTACTACTACAACAATTACTTCTACTACTACTACTAGTACTACTACTACTACAATTACTTCTACTACTACTACTACTACTACTACTACTACTTCTACTACTACTACTACTACTACTACAATTACTACTACTACTATTACTACTACTACTACTACTACTACTACTACTACTACTACTACTACTACTACTACTACTACTACTACTACTACTACTACTACAATTACTTCTACTACTACTACTTCTACTATTACTACTACAACAGTTACTTCTAGTACTATTACTACTACAACACGTTCTTCTACTACTACTACTACTACTAGTACTACTACTACTACAACAATTACTTCTACTACTACTACTACTACTACTACTACTACTACTACTACTTCTACTACTACTACTACTACTGCCGCCTCCGTGGTGTAGTGGTTAAAGCGTCCGTCCGGAGAGTGTCATACGAAAAGATGTTAAAATGTGGTAACCGTACTTATTGGTCCCTGTCTGGCGCTCGGCATTAATGGGTACAAGGACTGGTCGGCTCGGAGTCAGTATAATGTGTCTGAGTCGGGTATTCGTGCTTAAATGCGGCATGGTATCTCAATGGGCTAGCACTATAAAACCAGCTTATGTATGTAGTAGTAGTAGTACACACACACACACACACACACACACGCATGCATGTCGTCATATGAGCGAAATATTCTTATGTACTACTACGTTCAACACTATTTCCCTCACCTCACTCACTCGCCTCGCCTCTACTACTACTACTACTACTACTACTACTACTACTACTACTACTACTACTACTACTACTACTACCCGTGAAGGTCCGGGTTAGAAAATTGATCTTCAGTAACCCATGCTTGTCGTAAGAGGCGACTAACGGGATCGGGTGGTCAAGCTCGCTGACTTGGTTGACACATGTCATCTGTTCCCAATTGCGCAGATCGATGCTCATGCTGTTGATCACTAGATTGTCTGGTACAGACTCGATTATTTACAGACCGCTGCCATATAGCTGGAATATTGCTGAGTGCGGCGTAAAAATAAACTCACTCACTCACTACTACTGCTTCTACTTCTGCAACAACTACTACTAATATACACTCTACAGAATGCATGGCAAACGTTCAAAGCATATTATTGTCATCTATTGATAAGTTCAGCTTCAGGAGCAAGAGTCCAGCTCACCACTCGTTAATGAAAAATCATTCCGTACGAGTCATGACTGTGGGGGCGGTGGCGTAGCCTAGTGTTTAAAGCGTTCGCTCGTCACGCCGAAGCCCAGGGTTCGATTCCCCACATGGGCACAATGTGTGAAGCCCATTTGTGGTGTGCCCCGCCGTTATATTGCTGGAATATTGCTAAAAACGGCGTAAAACCATACTCACATGACATTGTGTATTTCATTTCTTCAACCGTACGTTTTAAAAAGATTTAAAACATCAAACTTGCAACATACTTCTACACTTGCCTTTCATGTGAAAATGTGAATTTGAAAGTATGATATGCATATTATCATTTCAATGTATGTCCATTTCAATTATGCAGCGGACAAAGAAGCATTATCCTCATACGGACTGAAGATTCAGATAATTCCTTTGTGGAGGTCTCAGTTAACGCTGACGCCAACCTAGCCCAGCAGGTCTGCAAGGATGGCAATATTCGTTTTTATTCTGGGGGTAAGTGTTCCCTGGATCATAGGGTAAGGAGAGTGGTATGAGATTTTTCTAATGGAGTATAAATCCTACATTATGTATTAATTCACAACCTGGTTTGTGCATTATGTCGTTTTCGTTCGGGGTCGGTGGGGTAGCCAGGTTGTTAAGGCGAAGACTCGGTCTCGATTCCCCAAATGGGTACAATGTTTGAAGCAAATTCCTTGTGACCCCCCGCCGTGATATTGCTGGAATATTGCTAAAGGTGGCGTAAAACTAAACTCACTCATAAGTTATCTCTACTTAAACCAGAGTCCATTGTTTGATTCCGATTAAACATGATGCCATTAAGATGAGTGTTTACGAATCGTTTGGTCTCTTAATTACTTCATACCTATAAACAGTCAGAATTGGTTGGGTGATGATAGAACAGGTTGATGGACATTTGCTCTTTATTAGTTTTTCTATCGACATTCATGAACATTTTCGTCCATGTAGGTAGCAAAAGTAATGTAAGTCCCCATGGTCCCTAGTATGGTGATCTACCTTCGGTTGTTGGCAATCTATAGCCTGTTTTTATATTGTATTGTCATGTATAGTTAAAATGTTTTAGATTATATTACTAGTTTTGCATTTATATCTGTGATATTCTAGTTGTTTTACTGTCCTTCGTTGGCAGGTTTTTATATTTTACCTATAATTATTATTAATATATAACTTGATATAGTCACGGTATGGCTGAAATACTGCCGATGTGACTTAAAATTTCAACTCACTCATGAACATTTTCACATTTACAAAGCCCTGGACTACCAATACATTGTACGTGTCCACGACACGTGTGAGTGAGTGAGTTTAGTTTTACGCCGCACTCAGCAATATTACACCTATATGGCGGCGGTCTGTAAATAATTGAGTCTGTACCAGACAATCCAGTGATCAACAGCATGAGCATCGATCTGTTGAATTGGGAACCGATGACATGTGTCAACCAAGTCAGCGAGCCTGACCACCCGATCCCGTTAGTCGCCTCTTACGACAAGCATGGGTTACTGAAGATTTAACCCGGAACTTCACGGGTCCCGCGACCCGAACTGAGAAGTGTGTTTTAAAGTTTGCCAAAAGCCGCGTAAAACTAGACTTACTCACTCAAACAGAGTTCCCTGTACGGGTGCCCACGAGTTTGCCAAGGGGTGATAATTGGAATCGATACATTTTTAGAATATAGCGTTCGACCGCATTTCAGTAGTCGTGACCTAATTGTAATTTAAATAAAGGTTAGAATCTCGTCGATCGATCCTCCCCCTTTGCAGATATGCAAGATATCAGAAAACTACATATTACTTTAAACATGTCAATTAACGAAGAGAACCTTTGAACGTGTGACATGTTATAGATTCAATGATTAGGATTTAGGATTAACACTCTTGAATATAACCCGTTTCAGATAACCCGACAAATGAGCTGTATTTGGGGTCTTTTTGTGGATCGCCAACGAAGAAACAAACGCCGGTCTTTGTATCATCACAGAACGCCATGACTGTTGTCATAGAAAACGGCACCGCCATCCTCGACGACAACATCCTGACGCTGAACTACGCCCAGGCTCAAAATACATGTACATCAGAAACCACACTTGGGTCTAGTTCCCGAAATGGTGCCGCCTCCTTAAATGACGAGTTTGAAACCAGTCTGTTGAAACGTTGTGAGTTGGGTTGTCCTTTAACGCCGCACTCAGCAATATTCCAGCTATATGGCGGCTGTCTGTGAATAATCGAGTCTGGACCAGACAATCCAGTGATCAACAGCATGAACATCTGTCTACGCAATTGGGATGCGATGGCATGTGTCAACCAAGTCAGCGAGCTTGACCACCCGATCTTGTTAGTCACTCTTACGACAAGCATTGGTTGATGATGATCAATTCTAACCTGGCTCTCTATGCTACATGGTTGTTCAATTGACATCTTATGTCTTCAAGGGTCTGTAGAAACGTAGATATATGTTTTCTTCATGACATTTAGGTATTGTGCAATTTGTTTCAGCTTGTGATGATTTCATATTATTCTCTGCAACCTTTACACCAGGGTATGTTCGAACTCCTGGCTATCCATCTGGAACACAAAAGTGAGTATGTTTACTATGCCGGAAGTAATAGCTTGGAAGGTTGGTTGGTTGTTTTGTTGTTTAACGCGGCACTCAGCAGTAAATCAGTGAGCCTGACCGCCGGATCACGTTAGTCGCCCCTTACGACAAGCATAGGTTGCTGCAGACTAATTCAAACCCGAAGCTCCACGGGTTGGCTGGGAAGGGGTTATCGCGTCATGAATACAGGAGCTATATTGTTCTAACATCAACAGATAAACCGTTATCCGCTGAATGGTGGCCTTCCAGGACAATGTATTCTTAGAACTGTAGTGTAAAAATCTTTGTTTCAGCTGCATATGTATAAAGATACGTCATGTTTTTATTTATTGTACGTTCATGACGCCTCATAAACCTTTAACGTTCATGACACTTTAGAAAGTCATTTTGTATTTCGCAAACTTGGTTTTACCACCCGTGTGTCTCTTTTATTGATAGTCAATCTTTATATACTTGATTTGGTTTACTGAAAAGGTCAGGCATTTGTACACGTACGTTGAAGGTGTGGGAACGTTCATAACCTATAAGATTATATTATTCTGATAAAATTAATGATACCATATCAATAAATCAACGCTTGGCAAAATCCATCTATCATGGCAACGGTTCTTGTCCTTGCAAAATATTAGACAAGCATAATCATCATCCACAACATAAATAGCATAGACCTTCAAATAGTTTCGACAGAACCTTGCGACAATTTGATTTCAAAATCTTGTTAGTTTTATGTAAGACATATTAGTTAATCAACTACAGTTCACTTGAAGATTGGTATTTATTTCGAAATAATTGTATTTTCAGTGTTTCCAGATGCTCTTGGGTGGTTGCTGGCCCTGCATCAAACCGTCTTTTCTTGACCTTCAAGTATGCTGACAAATCTATTACTCCCGATTGGTCAGTTACAAGCATCACAGTTGGGACCTATATTGGTTTGTGTAATCACAGGCAAACTATAGCGCAAATAGGGCTGCGCAACAGAGAGACAGGGGGAATAGAGGCGAAGAACGATTAAAATGTTGAATGAAGTATTTTTTACGTGAGTAATTATTAAATACGAGGTTGGAAATCTACGAGCACAACCCTGTGAGGAAATGGGTGTCTATTTTCGATGGTGGGCGATATTTTATTTTGACATTAAAAATATTATTCGAACCGAAGCGAGGAAGTGTGGACATTTTTCTCTCTGTTGCGCAACACTGTTTGCGCTACAGTTTGCCTGTTTTTAAATCGAAAAAATGTTTGTGATTTCTGAGGATGTCTGTAAGTATAACACGTCTACCCCTACAACCTATTAAGCCGTCTTGAAATAGATTATGATGTCAGCAAACAGAATGATCTATCCCCTTCTTACAGTGTAAGATATTGGTACAAATGTTTAATGATACATGACTAATAAATTTCACAGAAACAGTATTACCATTACATTACAGCTATTGTTCTAAATACAAATAATGTACATTTTACATACAGCTGGAAACAAATATATATTTTTAAAAACACTTTGGAGTATCATTCTTTTTCCGGGTTTCTTGGCATGTATTCCGGGTTTCTTGGCATGTATTCCGGGTTTCTTGGCATGTATTGTATTGCACTGTGGGTGACAATCGGAGACGAACGTTAGGAAAACTGTGATATAGTGGTGGTTCCGTATTTGTTTCTGTCAGTCACTTAATGTTGTATCTATCAAATACATTCATCATAGCTACTGTTGAGGACAAAGTTCACCCAATAACGTAAACTCCAAAACCCGGCACCAGCATTAAATGGCTACAATCCTGTAACATAGTGTGGTGTTCATTTAGGGTTTAGAAGAGAGATTCAGACTTTGTGCTTGAAGGAAGCGGAAGAAAGAACAATAGCCATTTATAGACATACAATCATCACCATCTCCCCAAGAGGACTGGAGCACATCAATACTGGAATACAAGTGGAATATGTTGCAGAAGAAGGTAGGATCATCTT